CTAACCTGAGTTACACTAAGCGTGTTGCCTTGTGGTGTACAGAAACCGCTTCACCTTCATAGTATGTGCAAGAATGCTCAGTCCTGCAATCTTGGAGAGATCATGAGATACAGAACCATGTTTCATACTCCCCAAGATCTTTGTGACTGTAGATTTCATGTTCGTACCAGGCCTTACAATGGTAGGCCCTATTAATGTGTGATTTTTATCTTTAATTGGTGCGACTATATAGTATAGTCACTATATGTGAAATATTCTGCTACTATCTAGCTTAATGCAGTTATCCTGTATAGTTCGTTCTTTTTCTTTTTTCTTTTTTTTTTTTTTTCCTCCTCTCTCTTATATGGAAACAAGCTATATCAGTATAAGTGTTTTCACTGTGGGACACTTTATTTGCACTGGTGTGCGTAATGCAAGTATTACGGGCCTTCGCCTCCGTGAAGCTGCAGTTTGTTTCCCCAAGCGCGTGCAGAGCGTGGAGGAGATCCGTGTGCTCCTTCCCACCCCCGGCTCAGCACGTGCGCTCCGGAAGATGCTCCCTTGTCCCCATGAGAGTCCTCACTGCAAGCCTGGTTGTGCAGACTGCAGAGTCCTGCTGCCTGTTGCTGGCTGCCACCTCACAACTATGAGGAAAAAGGGAGTGTCTGGGGCTCTAAATTGTTTCCCTGTTAAGGAGAAGTTCCAAAGTACAGTTCAGGATACTCCCCAGGCACTTGCTTTAAAATCATTTTTACAACTGGTCGTTTAGTTGATGTATTTTATATCTTGCATAAAAGTAGTGTCTGTCAAATTCACTGTCTCCTGCCAGTTATTATGGCTGATGCTTTTAATTATGGTTGCAAATGATGGTCTGTGTGGCTTGCTGTACCAGAACTGTTCCTTTTGCTGATTACCCTGTATCACACTTGTACTGTAGTACGCTCCCGATGACTACAATGGCCTTATTCAGCTGAGTGATCAAGCAAGGAGTATGTTACAAGCACCGAAAGAGTGGGTCTGTTTGTAACTCTTTGTAACTTCTGAAGAAGGTAAGATGCATCTGGCAGAAACTGGCTTTCCAGTGGTGAATGGGAAGGGAAAGAAGGGCTTGGTGATGCAAGATTTTATTTCCCCTTCGCTTTCCTAGCTTGTGCTGGGATCCTTGCTTTAATATTTCTGCCTTTGTCCTATTTAAAAAAAAATAACTAACATAAGAAAACAGGCTACTTGTGATCCGTAGATGGTGTGATGGTGGAAGTAGTGGGAATGCTTGGCTTTGTGCAAAGAGTATATACAACTCCATAAGGATTTATTAATATTTTTTGTGGGAAGTTCCCTATCTGGTAACGCTTAGTGTGATGTAGAAGGTGGATTTGTCTTGATATGGCTATAGGACACGCATAAATGCATGTGAAAAAAACCCAAACCCTTGGCTTTTCTTTTCCTGTGCTATGTAGCTGCCTAGACATTAATTTCTCCCTTTTCCTAATCTCAGTGTGAACTACCAGCTTGCTTTTTAGGAGAGGTTTCTTTGGCATGGTGGCTTTTTTTAATGCAGTGGACTAAACTCATTCATGATCAACTTGCTTTCTCAATCATCTTTTAGCACTAATGCATGATTTGTAAAGAAATTTCATCGTAAGCCAGATGGAGCTGATGACTTCCAAATACTATTGTACTCCCTTCAAAAATGCTACTGATATAATGTAGTAACTTGAAAATGACTGAGCTGGATGGTGATTACATTTGAATGGTGATTACATTTGAATAGCTTTTCTATGAAAATTTATCTGCCTTTGGATTTCTTTTCCACCTGAAACTAGTAGACCTGCTAAGGAGCAGGTTGAGACAGGGCTGCTGTACCAAATAATATCTTTATTATTCTAAGCATGTCAACACACTTGTCCCATTTAATTCTATTGCTTGCAGAATGAGTAGACTTCTCTACTAACTTTCTACAACTCTCCCTTACATAAACAAAGATTATTCCAAACCTGAACTGGGCTTTCTAACATGATGTTCTGTTTTGTGTGTGTGTTGTTTTGTTTTGAATGCTGTTTCCTGTCTAATTTTTATTCTGTAAGACATTCTGTGCTACTTAATGGATGTTGGCTGTGTTGACTGTCCTTATATGCACTTTTAGTAACTAATAAATCAAGTTGCTTATGGCTTAAGTAAACCTTTGCTGCCTGCTAGGCTTCTGGGTGAGTGAAGTTCTGGCATATAGTTGCTTTATTATTATATGTCCAAGTATTTCCACGATGGCTTTTTGTTTTTTTTTTTTTTTTTTTTTTTTTTTTTTTTTTTGGTGGCACCAATCTCTCCAATAAACTAACCTGGTGTGCTGAGTTTTTGGTCCTTCAGCATTTCATTTCTAAACTCCACTGGGATCTATTTCTATCCAACATTCAAATGGGACTTCCAAGCTTAGCCTGGAGGGACTGCCAGTGTGCCACCAAAAATGCCTGGGGTACCACTGGGCAGACAACTCAGCACTTTAAAACTGTCTTTGAAGGATTCAATAGGGCAAACTCTTTCTGAAGTGGATTAACTGCAGGGACAGAATAGCCTCGCATGTTATTCTGTCTTTTTTGTACCATCATTTAAATTACAATGAAGTTTTATTTAATAATATAGTTTATGTAAGTGTTACTTTGTTTCACAGAACAATCTTTCTTGGTCTGTGTATAGGTGAGAGTTGAGCTAATCCTCCCAACATCACTCTCTTATTGCTCTATCCATCTCTGTCACCTGGTCAGTATTTCACATAATACAGGAATTTATTCACTAAATGCCTGGACTTTCTTGCTCAGTTTACCCTTTACTGACATTTAATTCTTTCTTTCCTTGTCAGCCTTTAATTTGAATTACTTCTGTAGCAAACTCTGCATGGAATTATTTCTGTATCATTCTGTCCAACACACCAGCAGAATAAAAGCTGCTGCTTTTCTCCAAGCTAAGTTACAAGCTGATTCTTTTTCCATCCACTCCCCCTTCTCTTGGCCATTCTTGCATCCAAAATCTTTTTGTTGGAAACACAGGAGTGGAATGAGCCCACAAGAACAGCCAGCACTGAAAGCTGGTTTCCAGGTGTGGTCTCTGGCCTTACCAGTGTTTTTCCTTTTGTGTTCTTGTGCCCTTGCAGCTCCACACAGATTCCATCCTCGTGCTTTACAACTTTAGTGGCCAGCCCAGTGGAGAGGCATTGGTGACTTTTCCAAGCCTGGAGCTAGCTAAGAAAGCAGTGGCTGAGAAAAACGGACAGCTCTTGGGAAGCCGCTATGTAGAACTGTACCTGGTCTAATGAAACACTCTTTGGGGATGGGGAAGGAAAGCTGCGCTGACCACCGGCCTCTTCCAAAATCCCGAGTCTTCCCCTGCCACCCAGGCAGCAGCACGTGTGCCTTCCCAGCGTGATACGTTGGAATATAGAGCAGTGTCCTGTTTGTATTTTGCAAAATATGTATCCTATGCCAAAGATAGAGAAAAAACAAATCGTACAATTAACTTTAATTTCTACTGTACTTGTTAAAAAACCTTGCTGCCGTCTGGTTACTTCTGAAGACAGTCTAATAGCACTTCAGCTATCACAGCCATGGGAGAAACCTATTGCCTGTTCAATAGCATCTGAAGTGGAAAGCAAAGCTCAAGTCATTTGGATTCTGTGTTTAATTTTTAGGAGTTTATACTTGGCAATGTGTCTGTTTTTTGTAGAGTTTAAATGCCCTTTAGAAAGGGCTTCTGGAATATGCAGCTTTCCCAAATTGAAGCATGAATGCTATCGATGATGATAATGTTCTTGACTGAAAAATACCAGGATGCTGGACTCGAATGCGATAGTGCTTTCTCATGTTGTCATTCTGTTGTTCTGCAAAAGCCATATTTGTCTTTCCTACCAGTGTACTGCTGCCAATGTGTAAAGCAAAAGAAAAGAAAGGCAAAATCACAAAAAAATCCTCCCCTAGACTTTTAATCTCTATAGGACAAAAATGGCACATAAACCTGAGTACTAATAAGTTATATTTTTTTATTTAAGCATAATAGCTTTCAGATACTGTATTAAAGATTTTGCTCTAGTTTATGTGCATGCAATTTGTTTACATCTTTAAACTACTTTGTATATTATGAAGCAACAAGATATGTTGAAATCTAAATTCTCTAGTGCATGCTCTTTTCTTTTTCCCTGTGTGTGTATATACATAAGCTAGAAGAAGTACTTTTACGTCATGTAGCATGTGTTCAAAAAGGAGAGAAAAAGGAAAAAAAAAAGAGACATCTGCTGTAGAAGCACTAAGTGACTTTGTTTTTACTGTGCCTTACTTCAAATCTCTTCCAAGTGCAATACCAGCAGAGCAAAATCTAATGAATCCTTTTGTGACAGGTTCATGGATGTCTGGATTGATCTTTTTTGTTAGTGTACAATTTGAGTTGTACTTAACGGAATGATGTATGCTTCTTTATATTACAACAAATAAAAGAGATGCTTACAATGCATGTTGGCTTTTTCAAGTAAGTTATACTGTGTTTAAACGTGGTCATGGATGGTCATGCTCTGATAAATAACTTTTTACAGATTTCTTCTTCCCTCGGTCCTGGATTAGGTAAGCATGAGTTGAGGTGCTTCTCTCTTTGCTCTTAAGCAAAATATATAGACAATAAATACTTCCCTTGTAGTGGAATGCTTTTAGATGATGTTGGTGTCCTCTGGTGCCAGAGGAATCTAACTATTGAACTTGTTTTCATGTTTGGATTTAATCGGTAGTGCACAAACCAAAATGTTAGATTTTTTGTTGTGACTGAACCAGGAAGCCTTTGTGTAGTAAAATGGGGTGTGTGAAAAATGAGCAAAAAAGGTCAAGATTATCAGCTTTGTTTTGTTCTAATCCACCTGTCATGTGTCAGATGCCATTTCATCAGTAAAGCCTCAACTGAGGTTAAAGCACCATCAGGTGTGCCTGGGGCTGAAGCCTGCTCCATAATATTAAAGTGACACTGCCTTTATATATCCCAAGACTTGTCTTGAAGTCTCATTTGGATAGCAGGTAGGTCTGCACAACTCCTCCTTATGACTTTGATGAAATTTTTGAAAGGGAGAAATACAGAGCCTATGGACGTAGGTACTTGGACCACTTGTTAGGCTGCTGCATGCTCCAAGTGGTCAGGTCTGGGTTATGGCTTTAACAGGGGAAGGATCTTCTCTTTTAGCAGCGTGTGGGAGTTGTTGCTTTGCATCAGTTATGCAGCTTTACTTAAAAGCATCCAGCCTTCAGCCAGCTCCTCCACTGTTGTTCATATGTGCTCAGCTCCTTGCTCCTACCGAACAATGGAGACGAGCTGAAATCCAAAGCCTGGAGCAACTCCCAGGCTTGTTTGATGCACATGTTCTCCTTTAACTCCTCCATGACTTTCAAATTGTGCAGCAGGGACTAGAGTTTAAAGCTGCAGGTGTAGTTCTATGCTGATCTTAAGTGTAACTGGTGACACACTCCACCCTGTATAGAGGCTGTGTCTAACTACCCCCTCATGGAGGGAGAGGAAAAAGGGAAAAAAAGAGCCCTGGCTTTTTTTGTCTTAGCAATTGTTTTAGCCCTCTTTAGAAGCTGAGACAGTGGAAAGGGGTTGTAGAGATTGAACTCAGATGTTCCGAGCTGCTTTGTGTGCAAGCAGTGTAATGCTTTAGAAGATACCTTTGCACAACTGCCTTAGCCCTATTGCCCTTTTGGTACAGCTGCAGCCACCCCCCTCCCATGCTGGTGTGCAGGCCAGCTTTGCTGGGTGTAGAGGGAACTGCCCTGTCTTGCCTAAAATGAAATGACAGTAGAAGAAAAGAGAGGGGAAAAAAAAAAGTACATTGCTCCTTTGAGTATATATTTCCTTAATTACCTAACTGAACTCAAATAGAGATTAAGGGGGTTTGGTTTACGTATTGCAGAGGCTGCAGGGGGAACCTGGGCACGGCTGGGGCAGGAGACAGTGCAGCCACGCTTAAGAGAACGTTATTTCCCTGCCTCCCTCCGCCGTGCCGCTCTGCTCGCGGCGCTCTGGCACTCGAGCTTCCCCCGCCGCTCGCCCGGGG